TAGGCAAAAGTTGTTTAGCGTGAATCGACCTTTAGATGTTGTCAGTGCGCTGCCTCGGTTAGCACACTGCCCTATACCCTATGTCAGTCAAACCTGCCGCTGTAGGTCGAGGGTAGCTCAATATTCAGAGATGAATCCATCCAAATCTGGCAGGGGGGGGGGTTGCTCATGGTTCAGGGTGCAACCGTTGACCAAGTGCGTAGTCGCTAATAGAGGTGTGCATCGGATCGGAATGGACGTTTATAATCCGACAATTGGCTAATGTTTAAAATCCAATCCAATCCGAAATTGTCTAATCCAATCCGATCCGAGTTTTGATAAAGAATTCCGATCCGATCCGAAGAATCCTTTAATAAAATAAATTTCTCATTCAAGTGGAAATGTTTAACCAAATAATAATTATTATATTAATTAATTCATTTTATTTCGAATATCGAAGTCCGATCCGACTACGAAACAACTTTATCAATCCAATCAAATCGCAAATGAATATTTTTGTTCTGAAATCCGAACGAATCCGATCGGATTCGAATCGAATTTTCACACCTCTAGCTAGTCTATAGCCTTGCACTCGCCTTTGTAAATCCCCCTGCACCCCCCTCCCTCAAGTAAATCCATCCCTTAGTGTTATTACCTGCTCTGTTATTACCTGCTCTTGAAAACTTGTTGATTCTCTCATGTTCTTCAAGTTATTATCCCCAACTGACTCCTGGCAGTCTGACGTGGGTTGCAACCAGTATATTCCCAGATCTCTTCTTAACCATTTCCCTATTTTCTCCAGATATTATTCCATGTCCTGTGACTGCTGACATTGCATTCATTGTGGATTCATCTGGCAGTATTGGGGTACCCAACTATGTGAAAACGAAGTACTTCGTGTATTCCATAGCGAATGCCCTCAACATTTCCTCATCAGGAGCCCATGCCGGCGTAGTAATATACAGCGAAAAGGCCAAACGACCTATAAAGTTCACCGATCATACGAACATTAAAAGTTTTAAGGAAGCTGTTTACGGTTTGGAATATATGCAAAAGGTAATGGATAATCCAACGGTTGCGAACTACACACGCCAAAAAAATCTCACATCCTCTGAACAAGATGTGTTCGCAATAAGCTTGTAGCAACCTTGCGAACAAGCTATAACAATGTTGGTATTTTATCGAGTTGTTACAAGGTTGTCACTCACAACTTGTTGACAAACTGTTGAATTGCAGGACGATAACAAGTTGTTGGAACAGCTTGTAACAAGCCTGTTGAGCTCAACAACCTTGTAGCAAGTTGTCAACGAGCCGTTGACGATGGACGGTCGGTCGGTTGGACAGTCAGCTTGTCGGTTGGATGGACGGTGGGTTGGTTGTTCGTTGGATGGTCAGTCGGATGGATGGTCGGTCGGACCATAGTGGTCGGACGGTCAGCCTGTCGGTTGGACGGACGGACGGTCGGTCGGTTGGTTGCTGGTCGGACGGTCAGTCGGATGGACGGCGGTTGCATGGTCAGTTGGTCAAACGGACGGTCGGTCGTCTGCCAGTCGGGCAGATGGACAGCCAGACGATCAGTTTATTTTAACACATGCTTAAATTACTTTGCTAGAAAACAAGGATAGATCTTGGCCTTCAGAAAGCTCACACAGATTTATTTTCACCATATTACGGAGGAGCTAGACCCGACGTGAAGAAACTGGCATTTATATTGACTGATGGACAACAAAATCCTAAAGGTGACATACCTTTAAAAGAAGCAGCGGGCAAGTTGATCAATGATGACATTAAAACAATCTCTATTGGAATCGGCCAAGAGGTATGAAATCTTTGCGTGTGCGTATCATTTTTAATTAAGCGATTTTGGTCGGCCGATTCTAATAGAACAAAATCAAATTTTTCACTGTTATCACTGATAATTTTCGCCGAATTTCACATAATTTTCGCTTTCAAAATTAAGGGGCTCCCCATTTCAAAATTAAGGGGCTCCCCATTTCAAAATTAAGGTGCTTCCCATTTCAAAATTAAGGGGGCCCCATTTCAAAATCAAGGCTCCCTCCTTTTGAATTAACTGATTAATAAGGCGGGCCTATTCGATCTTGAACTGTTCATCAAGATGTCCAGTAAGATCCATCACTAATTGATCCAGTGTTACTACGGGGAAGAAAACGAAAGCTCTCTTCTCAAATGTGATTGATGCGTACACAGAGAGGTTCAAATTTGACTTTCACTACTATGAAGGGACTATCAACCAATTCATACAACTGCGTGTATATCAATTACAGGAATCTCAGCTTACTTAAGAGGTACTAACCTATGTTGCCACTAATGAAACTCCTGGTACATTTTCCAGCAATTCAATTTTAATTTTCCAAAAACAATTGCAGGTTGATGAAGATGAGCTCAGAGCTATGGTGCAATATGATGAAGATGTTATAACGGTAGCGAATTTTGACGAGCTTGTTGACAAAATCCAGAATATAACCCAAGTCGCATGTGAAGAGACTAGTAAGTTATATATACTTGTGCTCGGTTGACCATGCGAAAGCTGGACATAGCGCTATCCACTGGGGATTTCTCCACGTTTTCTAAAATTATCCGTTTAATGGTATAACTCAGATTAGACCTCAGTGTTTGAAAGAATACCTGCAGGTCTGAAAATAGCATGAGTCATCTCACAGGTGCAATGACAGTCATGACTATTAAGACTATAGTCATGACTATTAAGACTATAGTCATGACTATTAAGACTATAGTCATGACTATTAAGACTATAGTCATGACTATTAAGACTATAGTCATGACTATTAAGACTATAATTACGGGAACCACTCAGTATTTTAAGAAAATACAAAATAACAGTAACTCCGAAAAAAACATTTTGATTTTTAATCGACGTTTCGACTAGTTTGTAGTCATCCTCAGGATTAAGAACTGAGGATGACAACAGGTGGGCAATTTGTCTGCGCATGCGCGAAGAAAATCAATATGGCGACATATATTAGGAGTGTTTCGTGAATTTATCTGGTTTTAAGCTGATAAAACAACATTTTAATGAACGCAAACTTTGTAATATTTAGTGGAAAACATTAAGCTATGCATTCCAAAGGTTCTAAATTGAAAATAAGTACTTTTGCTTTATTTTATTGCTTTTTATGCTTTGAAAACAGGCAAGCCCATTTTTTTGCAAAAATGTAATCTATTATTTTACCCATCATTTGTTTAATCTGAACAGAAATGGATAGAACACTTGGCTATATAAGTTACAAAGATATTGTTAGCTGATCGGAAAAATTTCAGTATTCCTGGTACACATTTTAACAAAGAATAAAATGTAATTTCATATGCATAACAAAAACAATAGCTTTTATTAGAACAACATATAATAAGTTGTTATTTTCTATTTTTACAAAAACAAGTTTGGAAACAGGATTTAGCCCTCCAGTTTGATGTCATATTCCATTTATTTGGATATTTCAATAAAGAATGTGAAATAATAATTTAATCTTGTGCAAAATTTGATACCAACACACATGTAAACAGATATTATCACCTAAAAATAAAAGAAAACAGAACATAAATTTATCATCTAATGCTATGAAAAAAATCGTAGATACTACAGGCATATAATGAGCACAATTCTTTAACAAACTCATTAAAATAAGTTCAGTTATGCCATGATAAGAGGATGGCAATATATGACAACATCAAATGTCCCCATATTCAGTGTCCAAAAAAGTGCCGCGCGCATTTTTCATGGTCGCATAACTGGTATTGCCACAAACCCAGGTAAAAAAGCAATTAGAAAAACCTGGTTTTGGATGATGAGCATAGTCAAATTCTTGACTTATTCAACTTTCTAAGTTTTTCCAGGTAAACAGATTCAACATTGAAATAAGCCCCATAGAAACCAAAATATTGTGTATGGACCAGATTTTTTTCAATTTTCTGTGATTTACATGACACTAGTTATAATTTAAGGGTCAACCAGTATTGTTCAAGACATATTTTCCTTCCAGAACACCTTTTCAAAATACTAACCCAAACATGTCAAAAATAGTGCACATTTACAAGGGCAATTTCAACCCTTTGGCATATTTTCCCCATGAATAATTTTAATTCTAATAAAAAGACTATAGATAAAACTTTGATTTAAAGCTAGTTTCAAGTGATGAGCTTACCCTAATTTTTAAGCTATACCTCAAAGAAGATAGGTCATTTCAACATAAACATTGAAATATGGGTATACTGACAGCTCTGTCACACTTGTAGTTTGGCATTAACAGCCCTTCTGAAACATTTTAATGAAAATATAATTCACAAAATTCACATTTCCACTTCTTAACATCTGTTTTAATCCAACTAGCACTGTAGGCACGAGCAAAATCTAGTGTTGATGTAAATATCCATTTAGTTCATGTTTCCCAGGTGAAAATATAGTCTATTCCAAAGTTGGATTTCGACTTACTTCAGCTTTTCAGAAACCGTTGGCCTTCCTCAGTAAGATTTTCAACTGTTTCATAAACATATTTGATAGTAAACAGCTAATATATTCACTGAAAGTCTATATTTTTCACTCTTCGACGCGAAAATGGCAACTCGAGAAGAAATGAGCCGCTATTTTTGGTCAGCGTCGACAAATTGCCCACCTGTTGAGGATGACTACAAACTAGTCAAAACGTCGATTAAAAATTAAGACTATAGTCATGACTATCAAGACTGTAGTCATGACTATTAAGACTATAGTTATGACTATCAAGACTATAGTCATGACTATTAAGACTATAGTCATGACTATCAAGACTATAGTCATGACTATTAAGACTATAGTCATGACTATTAAGATTATAGTCATGACTATTAAGACTATAGTCATGACTATTAAGACTATAGTCATGACTATTAAGACTATAGTCATGACTATTAAGACTGTAGCCATGACTATTAAGACTATAGTCATGACTAGTAAGATTATAGTCATGATTATTAAGACTATAGATTATGGACTGTAGACTAAGATTATAGTCATGATTATAGTCTTAAGTATTAAGACTATAGTCATGACTATCAAGACTATAGTCATGACTATCAAGACTATAGTCATGACTATTAAGACTATAGTCATGACTATTAAGACTATAGTCACGACTATTAAGACTATAGCCATGACTATTAAGACTATAGTCATGACTATTAAGACTATAGCCATGACTATTAAGACTATAGTCATGACTAGTAAGATTATAGTCATGATTATTAAAACTATAGATTATGGACTGTAGACTAAGATTATAGTCTTAAGTATTAAGACTATAGTCATGACTATCAAGACTATAGTCATGACTATCAAGACTATAGTCATGACTATTAAGACTATAGTCATGACTATTAAGACTATAGTCACGACTATTAAGACTATAGCCATGACTATTAAGACTATAGTCATGACTATTAAGACTATAGCCATGACTATTAAGACTATAGTCATGACTAGTAAGATTATAGTCATGATTATTAAAACTATAGATTATGGACTGTAGACTAAGATTATAGTCTTAAGTATTAAGACTATAGTCGTGACTATTAAGACTATAGCCATGACTATAAGACTATTATAGTCATGACTAGTAAGATTATAGTCATGATTATTAAGACTATAATAGTCTTAACTATTAAAACTATAGCCATGACTATTAAGACTATAATCATGACTATTAAGACTATAATCATAAAAGTGAATACCTTAAAAAAAATTATTTTGCCCCAGAAAGAGTTGGGAAACTTTTGCCATTATTTAAAAAATAATTTAAAATTTTATTCTCTAATTTTCATCTATATAGCCAAAATCAGAGTTGCCAACATATGTAGTCTTGTTGTGAGTTGGCAGCTTGCAACAGAAAATGCCATCAAATTTTGTTGCACATTTTCAGGTTTTAGCCGGCCATCTATATAAAGTTTGTTTATTCATAACTAATCCACTCGTTCACAGATGTCAGAAGACGAAAATCAGAATAGAAATGGGCCTTAATATTACTTTCTAAAGACTCTCTAATTTTACTATTTCGTTGTTAATAGAATTCACCAAGTGCCGATACCCAGCGGACATCGCATTTGTCCTGGATTCCTCGACATCCGTAGCTTACGAAGATTTTGAGAAAATGAAAGGCTTCGTCAAAACCATGGCAAAGTTGTTCAGGATTTTCCAACATGGAAGCCACGGCGCTGTTATTGTTTATGGTGATAGCGCAAGGGTTGCGATAAGAATGGACGAACACTTCAACTACCGTGGTTTTATAGATGCTGTCGATGGCTTGGGGCGAGTTGGAGGTAAGAAAATTTCAGAAGTTTGGAATGCCTTGGAATCATGTTTTGTCCCTTGCCACCAAGAGTTCGCTCTATGTTCAGAGTAACGGCCGGCTGCCGGCCAACATCGGATTTTTCGAAAGATTTTTATTCGGATTTTTGGGAAGTTTATCAGGATTTTTAGAGCAATACACCCAGGCCTAGAAAATATACTTCTCTTCCTGGGAGCAAAATCCCCAAATAAAAATTTCCTGTGTAAGTCGAATATAAAACTTCCGATCCTGCACATGTAGATTTCAGAGAACAGGCAAAAACAAGCATACTTTATAGCAACGGTAATAAAGTAACCCAATGACACGGTAATATAATACCTCCAGATACACCTGAGATACGACAGCACCCGTACGGATCTCAAAACAAATGCAATATACTTTGTAGCCACACTCATAAAGTGAGCAAACACAGCATGGTATACTGCATTTTTATGTACCTGCTATTACATAAGCTGCTGTTGTTCATAACTCTGGATACAGCTGAGGTACCGCCCATAAAACTATAGCATACCGCAGTTTTATGTAGCCAAATGCAGCAAAACAGTGTGGCTACAAGGTATGCCGAAATCCGGCGGCATACTTTATAGCCACAGACCATGGCTAAAATTCAATGTCGGCGCAGGACAATCTCGACTTGCAAAACGCTTTTGTAAACAATAAGTAAATTATATGGCATTCCAGTATACGAGATGACAGTACACGAAATGACACCCCTCGTCTGCCGGTTCTTTTCTACCACAGACATGTATATGAACCGTAGCAAAATTTTATCACCCTAAATATTCCTTTAGGTCGTAGACGTAGTTTCCAAGCCATGGCGCTAGCAGAGAACGTGTTATCAAACTACGAACAAGGAGCACGACGAAAAGTTCCGAAGGTTCTCCTAATGCTTACGGGCGGTCCCGAGAGTAGCAGCAACGACTATAATACATTACAAGACGTGACTAAGCGACTTCACGATCGTCACACGCTCGTGTTGGCCGTCGGAATTTTGCCCGATGCTGATATAAATAAACTTCAGAATTTGGTCCAGTCTTCTGTGAATGTGTTTGTGGCGCAGTCTTTTCAAGAGCTCAGTGACCAGCTGGTCCCGTTGACAAACGAGACCTGTAAAAATGTTGGTAGGTTTGATCTGGTTAACTTTGTTACATAGCATAGCATAGCATAGCATAGCATAGCATGGCATAGCACGGCACGGCACGGCCATATAGCATACTATTTTACAGCACAGTACATTTTACAATGCATTTTACAGTACATTTTACAATGCAGTACAGTACAGTATCATACCATACCATACCATACCATACTATACCATTCCTTTATTTCATCTGTTATCTTACGAAATACAAACTCCTCTTTTTGACTATCAAACCAGCTTAGCTTTGTCAAATGTCAATAAGCTAATAATTAACGTAGCTATCTATAATCTTAGGGCCAGGGAACTGCGAAGCAAAAGTCGACATCGCATTTATCCTTGATTCTTCTGGCAGTATTACTGAACATGAATTTATTGAGGCGAAAAACTTTGTAAAACGAGTCGCGAAAACATTCGAAATTTCGCCCGAAAAGTCCCATACCGCGTTAATGATATACAGCGACGAAGCAAGAATTATGAGCAAATTTGGTGAAATAGGCTCAGCTGAAGATTTCAATAGTAAAGTTGACGATTTACCGCATATGAGAGGCAAAACCCGTATCGATCTAGCTTTACTCAAAGCTGGCAAAGAGCTTTTCACTTGGGCTGGTGGAATGAGAACCCGTTCTGACGTCATCAAGGCTGCCATAGTGATAACCGACGGTCGTCAGTCGCCGGCGCCCGACGGAATCCGATTAGACGAAGCCGCAGCCGGTTTGATAGTCCAAGGGGTGAAGGTTTTGTCCATTGGTATTGGAGATAAAATTGACCAGGAGGAATTGAGAATGATGGTGCAAGATCCTGGTAGGCATACATTTTGGTCCGAATCTTATACAGCGTTGCGTGTACAGCTCGCGACAATCGCGCGCGAGAGTTGCTCACTCCCCATATATACAGAGTAAAGGCATTGGTTTAGTACATGGGAGCTTTCTGTTTGGTTTTAAATATCGTGGTCAATCTCAAATCGGATCAAGCAAATGATGCTAAATGTTTCTAAAATACATGCCAACATGGGCAGATATAAATAAATAAACAATTCCTACAATATATTCAATTTGTTTTTTCAGAAATATAATATTCCATTATATGTTCTTAAGATCAACGTTTCTGTAGCTACTTGCCATATTTTTGCGAGTTTTTGGAAAGTGCCAATATTGGTCAAAAACTAAAGACTAACCCGTTTACGTTTTGGCTGTTTTTGGCCACTTTATCGAAAATCAAAAATGTGACTGAAAATGGCCGAAAAGTTAAGGGGTCAGCCTTTACTTTTTCGTCAATTTTGGCCACTTTTTCACCAACTGATCCCTTATTAGCTTTTTGTCGACAAAATGTGAAGGCTAATCTGTTAAGTTAACTTTTTTACCACTTTTGGCCACTTTTTCAAGAACTCGCAAATTTTAAATGTCCTTATCGCTAAATTAAGTTAAGTTTTAAACGTAAAAGCTCTGAGTTTTATTCAAATTAATTTTTTCCCGAAGCTGTGCGGTTTGACCAGAGGCAAAAGACCAAAAGGGTCATTTTTCCGACCGGGAAAAACATCTCGGATAACCAGCATTCCATTCAGTTTACAACATTGAGATCAGAGGCATTGGACCATATAGACAGTGTGACCATGAAGTATTGTACACAAAATATTATGCAAGAATATTGTGTAAATGTGTAATATTTTTTTAGAATTTTATTCATTTGTATAATACTGTATAATACTGTGTATAAATGGCTTTTTCGTTATGTGACTTTGATGCAATTGGTTTTGATGTTGACCATGCTTTTGTTCAGTACAGATTAGAAAATATCTTTCCAGTAAGTTCTCTAATGCCTGGTTTTATACTGTCAATTGTCAAAGTTTCTGAGCACGGTAGCGATTTTGCATACGTAAATTCTAAGGTTTGAAAGATTTGCAAGAAATTTTGCTTATTCACATTGAGTCAATTCCCTCAAACATTTCTTACAAATCCTTCAAAACCTATGCAAAATTCCTACTGTGATCACATACACTTTAATAGTGTCATTACTCAGTGTGCCTCTAAGATGTACTTCTGGTCATTTATACGTTTATAGTTTACAGCCAGGGTCAGTTACAGCCTAGCAGAATAGTAGCTAGGTACTACAGTGTTATTGTACTATATTTATTTAGCTGGTTTATGAGAGCTTGGCAAGAGTTTTAGTTGAGAAGAGAGATTATCCTAAAGAATTGTTGGAAGAACCATTTAAAAAATTTGCAGACTTTTGGTGAGTAAAATCTACTGGATACTGATGGTGATACTTGGACAATATGTCACTAACTTTTTTTTCATAAAATAGTCCATTGTCCATGTTTAGCAGAGAGCCGTTTACATCACAAAAAAACCTTAACTGTAATTTAATTTTAATGTGCATGTCACAAGTCTGGTAGACTAGTTGTTTGTGTTTCATAATATTATAATGAAACACAGGTAGTTTTGATGTTATATAATTAAAGTTGCAGTACTATCCAGTAAAGGCTAGTTTCTACTCAGGAAAGTTATCTGTGGATTGGAACAGACAAGAAAATTTTTGATGTGTTAAAGTCATTAGTTCCAACCCAGAGCTCACAAGACAAAGAAAAATTTTCTTGTTCGTTCCAATCCACGGATAATTTTCCTGAGTCGAAACTAGCCTTTAATGTCCAGATCTGTCCCATCCCTACTAGGGGCATTCTCATCAAGCTTTCATGGTTCAGAGTGCTTTGATCAAGTATGTAATTACTAGAGGGAGTTACCACTCCTTAGTCTTGCTTGACTATTTCACAATCATGTTGAATTCACCTCATTACATTTAGCACAAGAGGTCTCGTCCTTGATGCTGACAAAGGTGACTTTGTAAAAGTTAGCAAAGATGGAAAAGTAATTAGGTATGCAGGTAGAAGTATTTAGTATTGTCAAACCCACACAAAAATGTTTCGAAAGATGGTCTATGAGGTATGCAATGACAAAAGAATTACAATTAATTCAGAGCATCACATGGAACAAAAATAATGGGTGAAAGTAAAATGAATGAAGAATATGGACAAGATAGAAAGTGGCCGCCATTTGAAAGTTTTACTGCTGATATGAAAACTAAAGGTGAGAATCTAAAAAGATTAGATCTGCAGCTTAACCAAAAAGTCTGACAATGTCTCCTGTTAACCCAATAAGCCCCAGTGTGCCCTACTTATTTTTTTACCTGTCTAACGCCAGACAATTTTACTCGTCAATGGGGAAGCTCTGCGGCTTAATTAATGGGTTAATTAAATACAAAATTTAATACTTCAAAAAGTCAGGTGAAGTAGACATCTTGATAATGTGCTCTATCGAGTCATGGCAGGTAATTTAAAAACAAAGTAAATTCAAAACAGTCCAACAGCCTATATAATAAATGCAGACAAGTTGGGTTTTTTTCAACAACGCGAAGTTGTTGGTGGTATTAGGATCAGTTTCAATCATTGAGGTAGTCATTTGAAATCTTTCCCAGAATGGAGGAAGCAGGGATGGATTTACCTGGGGGGAGGGGGGGGGAGGTGCCTAGCCCTGGCCAAAGGGAGTGCAGGGGGTGCTATTTTTTATGATGAAGCAAAAAATTATTAGAGACAAAATGAGATACAGTAATTTGAGTAAAAACATGATGATAAGCGAACTGTGAACAACAATTACAATTCAAATACAGTAGTGAAGCAAGACTTTGCAGTAGTGAAGCAAGTTGATGGGTGGGCGGCACACATGACCGACACAACTTGGCACCAGAGCTGGCAGAGCACCCCCCCCCCCC